GGAGGATGTGGGCCTCACCCCCACCCTCCACTTGCCAAACTACAGATTGGGTCTCAAGAGACCGGAGGAAGCCAGCCTTTAGACTTTCCACCGAGGGCCAAATTTCCATCTCCCCACAATGTGGCTGGGGAGGTCTAGGGAGGTTCACCTGAAGCCTGAGCCGTGCCCACTCCTCCAGGTCTTATAAATTCCAGCCTTCCATCAAGAAAGCTATCCTCTTGGACCAAACCCAGTAACCTTTGAGACAAAATCCCTCATGGAAATCCCCTTCTGAGAAAGTAATTTTAGAAACTGTGCTAAGAAAAACGTGGTTCCCACTGAGGAATAACCTTGAGACAATGTTAAGTTAACAATGAGGATAAGACAATGTCGCTAGATCTTCAAATCCCACTGGGGAACTGCGTTATTCATGTTTCCCTTTTTGCTTTGGCTCTTGGGAAGGTCTTCCCCAGCAGTTACGTTTTTCTATATCGTTGGTGTATTTATGGACTCTTTTCTCCCTAGCCCTGATTTTCTACTTCTATCTTCATTGTCTTAAGTCCTTGTGATTTCAGTTGCCTCAGTACCTTGTAGAAATAATTAAATGCAGAGTAATAAACGGAAGAGAAATGGTTCCTTTTTGTTCATCTCCAGGAAAAGGGGGGCTGCTTGACCCTTCTGGCCAGGGCGGCCACCAGGTGGCACCAAAGCCTGCACCTTTGGTGCAGCTGGCCTGCACCGTGACTTGGCCCCAAAGTATTCTATTCACCAGGCCCTTTTTTGGACAGTGCCACGAACATGTAGAGCTGTTCCTGCCCAAAAGGCTCTGGGTTTTGTTCTGGAAATTGGGCAGGGCTGACCTAAGGAAGCCTGGCTGGCTTCGTTCATTCAACTTACAAGACAAATGTGTCAGATGGGGTGGTTGTGATGATTCTTACCCAGACCACGCCAGTTAGGGGCTGTGCCCCATGTGTGGAAACATTTTTTCTATGCCATCTTAGGCAACAGGAGGTGGGACCCTCATTACAGATGGAGATATTAGGGAGCATGTCGTAAGGGCACAGAGAAGGGGCCTTTTCAGCTTCACCAAATACTCTGGTTACTTTTGTTTTGAATGGATATATTGATCCTAATTCTGAGCACATAACTGGATAATAGTTATCACATCTCTAAAACAGAAGTTGTTGAAAAAGAATCAAGTGTGCCGATATTACCATTAAGGTTTGCTTCTGTTATTCATCTGATGGGATTTAAAGACATTTTGTGTTTGGACTTCTGTTCCCAAAGATTAAAGACTTCAGTGAAAGTTGGAAGAGTGTGATTATATAAAAATATATAAATTCAGCTTCTTTACCCTTCATGAACCCATTTTTATAATGTTATGTCAATTTCTCATGTTATTTTCTCAAACTTCTGCTGGATCTGATCAATTATATTTCCAGAGAATTAAAGAGAAACAGAATCCTATAAATCCTAGGAGACATATATGTTCAGACCAGGAACACGGAGTAATGTGGTGGTCAGGGAGGGGGAGGAAGACCATTGGGCTGTTCCCACTGCTCTCCTGAAATGCAGACATGAGATCATTGACCATAACTGGGTCATGTCCATCTGGGGGTTTGGGAGGCAGAAGCTCTCCACAGTTAGTTTTATTTACCTTCAAAAGTCTCTTCCAGGAATTCTGAGTCTACTTAGGTGTTTCTTACCTGATGAATAGGAGAATTCATTCATCTACAGAAAGCCCTGGAGGAGGATAGATTTCTCCTGCATGTCTCCTAAATTAGGCAGACTGACGATATCAGCTGTGGGTTCAGAGGTCTTCCCAGTAAAAGTAAACATTTGGTCTCACCTGGAACACACTAGACAGTGTAGTCCAACTGGCTTCCATGTAACTATTCCCTTGTGTTGGGTCACAGGGCTCAAGGGACACCCAGCACTATAACCCATTTTGTACAACCACATGTCCACGCTCCCAGAATACAAGTATCTTTGGTAGCTCACCACTCCACCCCCATGGGTGACCCGAGATGACTTTTGCAGGGCTTGGTAGGTCAGTTAGGAACTGTCTAAGAAACATTTCATCTTTATAGTGGCTCCTTGGTGGTGCTTAGGCACCATGATGGGATCATGAGCAGTAACTTGGGAAGTCTTTTTGGAGAAGAGACAAGGGATGGGTTGTGAACTAGACTGGGACACTTAGTAGACCCCTTCCCCTCCCCCCTCCCCTGGGCCATGCTGGGGGGAGGTGTAAGGTCAAGATAAGAGACTGGGTTCCATTAAATGACAAAAAACAAAAAAAACCAAAAACCACAACAAAAAAACCCCCCAAAACCTAGGGCTAAAATCTAGATTTCCTATACCTCAGAACCCAGTCCAGGAGAGAAATAATTTGAGATAGCTTCATGTTTTTTTAATTGAACACATTTATTGAGCATTCACAGTAGGCCAGCCTCCATTACAACAACAGCAGTCCAAGAGTCAGGATCCCCCATTGGGTGTCAGGAGCCTTCCTGGATGAGGAAAATAAATACTAGTGGCCAGAAGTGGAAGCCAGGCTTTTGTCAGTATGTCTCTGTGACATTCTTCTGCACAGAGGGTACTGCCGCTCCCGAGCATAGCCTGGGAGGAAGGCGGGGGAATGCCTGAGTGTGGTCTGTGCTGGGTTCCTCCATTCTCCCCTCATGTTCTGGGGGCATCTTGCATTTCCTGCTTTTGAATGGTGTCGCCGACATCCTTTGGGGCCCCTCAGTTGGTAGACTGGACTGTGCTGAGGGTGGGTTACTAAGAAGAGGTGGGACCGGAGAGCATCAGGGTTTGGGTTCCGAAGTAATCCTAGGGGTGCATGCAAGTATATTAAACTAAACTAAGGGCACGGATGGGGCACACCAGGAGGAGCCATCACTGGACGGTAGTCCATTTGTTTATGCCTCACTGACCTTTGCTGCTCACGAGCTGGTGTCAACACCTTGGAGTTCTTTTTCTCCTTCCTAACACAAACCTGTTGTTTTTCATCCCCCTGCTGCCTTGAGTCACATTTCCGGATGGGAGGTGGATGGCTGGTGGCTTACTAAGAACCATCTCTGCACAAAGAAGCCCCTCAAGGCCCTGAGCTTCTGGGGTCACCGGCATGACAGGAGGACCCCGTGGCAGCAGAGGGCTGCAGACGCAGATCCCTTATTGCTGGCTGCGCCCGAGGTCCTAGATCAGCCTCTCTCCAGCACAGGATTCCGTCTGTTCTCGTAAATAAGATTTGATTGGAACCCAGCCACTCCCGCTCACTCACACATCTCCCCTGGCTGTTTCCACGCTCAGACGACAGAGCGGGGGTCATTGCAACAGAAACCAAATGGCTGGCAAAACCTACCACGTTTGTTATCTAGCCCTTTCTAGAAAGTTTGTTTGCTCCTGGCCTAAAAGTAGAAGAGACCATGTTTTTATTTACTTAACATGGAGAATCTTATCATTTGGATGTCGGGGGCAGGATCTAAGGTTCTCACTGCAGGAATGGCAAAGGCTTCACGGCTGCCTGGAGAGCAGTGTTGAAAGGGATCCTGAGGCCATGTCCAGACTGGTGTGGAAGCTTTCAGAGAGGGGAAAGCTGGACCAGGAGTCACGGAGGCAAGGAGCACCAGACTAGGAAGTGAGCAAGGCCAGGAAGTCCATGCTCCTGTTTCCCAAAGGGAGGTAGCAGGCAGGCACAGCTCGGTGTCACCGTGCCCCGTGCTCGGCACTGCTGAGGTTGGGGCTGTAAACATGCCCTCACTGAGTGGGAGAGAGGTGCTATTTAAATATCATTCATGCTTCGACAGAAGCAGAAAACAGGCAGAAAAGGTTAAGGTTGGGCTAGAGCGCCAGCTTTAATTAAGGCTTCTATGCACTTGTGGAAGGCTGGCGATGAAACAGGGTCTGTCCAGGACAACGTTTTGTATAAAACTTCCCATTTGGAGAAGATGGGGGCCTTTATTAATTTGTGCCATCAAAGTGCCACTGAAAAAGGTTGCAGATTGTTTAGAAACAGAAAGATCAGGGTGTGTGGCAATACATGTTTACTGGAGAGAGCAGTATAAAGTGTGGCTCCTGTCCTTTATATACATACATATATACATAGCCCTTGGATGGTGGTTTTTAAAATGGAACTGTCTTAAGCCTAGCTACCCCTATGACCGATATCCTGTTATCCTGTGACTCCAGTGAGCGGTTCCTCAGGGAGCCACATAAATCCTGGGAGTGGAGTGGTCCTCTGTAGACTCCACTTGTTACAGGGAGGTGTTGTTGAAAAGTGGATGCAAATCTGGTTTTTGGAACTCAGATCATATTTTGATTCCACCATGAGTCTGTTACTCAGGATAAATCCTTATAAAGTATATTAGCTACTTTTGCATAAATTCAGATTTTCAGATGCGCATGGCATCACAGCGAGGCATTTCCGTAGCCTGATAGGTGTTTTGCTGTTTTATCAAGCTGACTTTTCGCACTGTATCAGCACTACCTGGAAATTCTTAGGGCCACCGTTGCCTGGTGATGCAAATATGTATGCAGAATCCAGTAAGCCGTACGTTATGTTACTGTGCACTAATCTCTCATACAGGTCACTTAGTAGCTTTCCCACATTCAACATTTTGGCTTTAATTGTTTTTCCTTCACAGTATGAAAAATTGCCGAATCAGCTCCGGCTGACTAGGTTTTCTTTTCATTTCAAATAATGATATGAGGCATTTAAATTGTATTAAGTGCACTAAACCATATCTCAAAAGGAATTGGGTATTCGAAAAAAGTTTTACAACTTAAGCTCGAGAATTTATTTGCATAAAAATGCGAGCATTTTTCCAGCAAGTCTTTAAAATGTGCCACCTCTCAGGTAAGAATGGGTGGCGTGGCACCTGTGCTAGTGAGCCCGTGAGACGGATGGATTTCCAACAGACCTGGGGGAGCAGGCTGAGCGCATGCACGGGTGGTGTGCAGACCCCAGTGGGGCAGTAGGACCTGAGTCTGTGTGTCTGGAACACAAGAGCAGAGGGTGTTCAGATGTAGAATTCCTCCATGTCATTGTCCACGGGTCCGGCCAGCATTGGGGGCGGCGGGGCGTCTCTGCCCGAGGTCTGCTCAGTGCGGGGAGCATCACAGGGAGGCTCTGGGGAGGACTCTGTGCGTGAGGAGGGGCCACGAGTGGGGGGAGCAGCAGTGGCAGCTGGGGCTGAGGAGCTGCAAGGCCCTTTGGTGAAGAGAGGGAGGGAAGCCCAGGTGGTCTCTGTGGCCCCCCCACTCCCGGTGGGCAGCGGTCCTTCTCTGAAACCCTTCGGCTTTGACCAGTGGCTGCTGCACCTTTCAGGCGGGAGGGTTGCTTCCACGGTGTTGCAGAACCGACTGGGCGCCGAATAGGCAGAGACCACAGAGAGGTCTGAGGAGGACAGCCGGAGGCCCGTGTCCACGTCGGTCTCCTGGGCCCCCTCCAGGTCATCGATGGAGAGGAGGTGGCTGTGCCTCCCCTCCGTCGCCCTGTGCCCTGGGCCATCTGTGTTTGAAAACCACTGTGGTAGAGCTGAGGAGCCTGGGAAGGAGTCTCCTGTGGGCAGACAAAACAAGGACTTGCTTCTCTGGAAGGACCAGGGGAGGCTGGGAGGGCTGCCGGCTTGTCTGGCAGCTTCTTGTGGATGCCCGGTCGGCCGGTCTATCTGGCCAGGGCCTGGATGTGAGCTGTCCGGTACGGGCTGCTGGCTGCTGCCAGGCGTCTGGCTCGGGGCGGTGGTGCTTGGGGAAGGCATGGAAGGAGGTTTTTGCTCCGACGTGTGGTGGCTTCTGCCAGCCTTAGGAAACCTCTTGTGCACCCTTTGCGCCTGTAGGGGAAGAGGGCACGTCATGTTAGTGTAGGACCGGGGTCACTGGTGAGGAGGATGTTAACTCGAAACTTCCAGCAGTGTCGTGGCAATCAAACCTTACCAGACATCTCATTCTCCAAACTCTAAAGCCAAGAGGTAGCAGAGTTTGGGTGAGTGTGGACCCGAGTTCTCTGCCTGAGGAGACCTCTCTGAACCTGGGAGGAGATGCAGGCCTTGGCTGCCATATGGGCTATTGTTATTTCAAGGACATAGGGAGGGCTGCTTGCTGCACGGATTCGCCACAAGCATGAGGGCCTGGCCGAGCGTGAGGATGCTGAGATGAGGATACCAGTAAATACAAAAAGAACATTTGAAGGGTGTGTCTCTCTCCAACCAAAGCAGCACTGTTTGAATGTAGCTGATGGGAAGATGGGGGAGATCAGGGTAGGGTATCACAGTCTTAAGTCAGGTCAACATGGGACTCCATTCCAGTATGTGTGAGATTGCCAGGCTATATCGTACGGTGGCCCATGGCTCAGGGTGGTAAATCTTTGATGAGGGAGGGGCTATCAGGAAATTAGCATTTATTCTCTTGCTATCTGGAACCAGACTCTTCCAGACACTCTGCCCTGCAGGGACTGGACAGGAGGGGGTGCTGCTGACTACTGCCAGACCCCACCGAAGCCCCTTAGGGCTTGGACAAGCATTGTCTCCCTCTAACACCTCACCCTGTTCTGCTCTTCCCCCCACCCTCCTTGCAGCGCACCAGGGACCTGCTTCTGTTCTGTGGAACTGGGGACCTCTATACGAGAGAGAGTCTCCATCCGGTCTAGCTCAGTGCCCACGCCTGCAGGCCAAACTTTACTATGCAAAGTTTCCATTAAATAATGGATTTGGGGACAGTGGCTCTGGCCCTATTTAGTATGGATCATCTAATTTATGAATCCTTGAAATAAGGGTCCTGAGTATGGTTTACTATCAGGGATCTTTCCTGGCACCCAGCAGGCCCTTCCCTATACAACAGACACCCTTGCTTCCCTATTAAATGGGAACTAGGTTTTCCCACAGCTGCTTGAGAGATACGGGTGAATATAAAATACATTTATTTTGTATCTACTACAGGTGAAGGAGGGGACACTAAAATGAGACTCCGTGTTTGACCACATGAAGCTTACGTTTCATTGAAAGATAAGAGAAAGAAATCGCTTGGGCAAGAACCTGATGACAGGCACAACGACAGGGCTGTGAAGGAGAGACCAGGCACACCTGCCCCGTGGGAGCAGAGGAGTCTCCAAAGGAGGTGGCCCCTCAGGTGAGCCTTTGAGATGCACAGCTGGCCTCCTGCTGGATGGCATCGGTGGAGGGGAGGCTGTGCTGGAGAGAGGCCAACCCAAACAGGCTGACTGTTAGCAGGTAGGCAACAAACGTGGAGGGGGTGTGGGGCTGACAAGCAGCTGGCTTGATTACAGTCAAGGTGTGTGAAGAAAAGCAGTGATGAAGTTCACGTTGGGAATGGAGTCTAGAGCTGTTCTGGTCAAGGATACCTTGACTAGGTAAGAAATCTACATACTCATCCTTATGTTGCAGTCTTAATTCTGTTATTTATGTATGACCATTCCTTCCATTGATTTCTAAGGTCTTTGCCTACTTGCAGATCTCTCCTAATCTTATACAGTCTATTCATTCTTTCAATCTCAACACTAACTGAGGGTCTTCTCCATGGGTGTGTTTGAGTTTTGAATGGGTTATTAAAGGTGCACCAAGATACTGCTCTCTTTTACCAGCAGCCTCTTGCATCACAGAAGTATTCTAGTTATCATTTTTTATGGGATCTTTGGTGAGAAAAAGGTCTGGAGGGCCAGGCACAGATAATTTTGAACAAGACATAATCTAAGCCCCTAACAATGAACAACACAGTGTTCAAGGATGATAAAGTGAGCCATGACGAGAAAGTGAGTGACAACATATGGACCATGTTTGGGCACAAAGGAGGGAGAGGCTGATTCTGCTGAGAGTCGAGGCAGCATGGGGAGAGGGTACAAAAAGCTTGCCTTGGGCAGTCATACTTGGACAAAATCTTGGAGGTGCACGAGGTGCCCTCCAACTGGAGTGCGACCAGTGTGGCATGGAGGCACACTCACGCACAAAAGCAGCCTGATCAGAGGCTGTAGGTGTGAACCAAAGCAAGAGATAAGCCCTGAGAGGTGAGAGGAGTCTCGTCAGGGTGGGCCCCAAATCATGTGTTCATGTAAGTCCCCTGCACTTTAAAACCGGAAGACTTGAAAGCAAGATGGTGACAAGGCCAAGTCTGTGGCTGCGGCATAAAGGAGAAAGGACTGGACGGGGAGGAAGACCGGTGGTAGAAAGCATTTTAGAAGATACTGCTGTAGTCTTTCACTTTGTAAGATTTGTGACAAGCCACATTCCCGGTTGCTTGCCCGAGTATCTTCCCAAACATCAATTCAGATATTCAGGTCTTTGTATGGATTATCTGTCCAACCTCCTGATCCTTTCCTTAAATCTCAGTCTCTATATTCTGTGGTGTGTGTCCCCATGGCCTGATGATTCTAGTCTTGCCCTTTCTGTACAGCCCACTGAAATTCCCAAGTCGTTCTGCCAAGGGTGGCTTAAGGAGCCAAAGTTGAAAGTAGCACTTATGGAGATTTTTGATGGTCCAAGTTATAGATCTTTGAAGAACATGGTGCAAAATGCTTTTGGTACAGCCTGTAAGTGGGTGCAGTGTGGTTCTCCTGATGGTCTCAATCATTTGAATTTGGCTAAACAAGAAAAGATAAGTCATGACGCTCTTGAAAGAAGGAAGTCCTCCAGTATGGAGGACTCTTTGGGAGGGGAGAGGCAATGTTAATAAACATTAATCAAGATGTGAATCTAGGATTTTCCCCAAGGGCCCATTCCCCTGGGTGCCCCGATGTATTTCTTATTTGGTAAATGCACATGACCCTATAACTTCCATCTTTGGAGCCTTACTCGAAGAGCATGCATTTGGTAAGCGTGTTTGCATTCTGAATCTGCCTGAAAAAGGAAGCCTCCATGAGGACTGCTTCATGAGCATCAAAAGGCCAAGGTTGCCATGAAAGAAACTGCTAGGGGACATCGAAATCTTCCCAATATCAGGGGGCAGAATGGTGTTAAATTTGACTTAAAACCAGGAACGACTGGCACAGGACAAACAACTGCTGGTTTTGCAGGGATTTTCACCACTGTGCTTGTTCAGTGGAAAGCTACCTGTGCTCTCTCATTTTGGCTCCCTCATGAAGGCAGGAGCTCAGATAAACCAGAAATTACCTGCCTTGAAGACAGGACACACCCCATGTTGGTTATTAGTGCTTCCACGGTGCACCTGGGCTGGTGGGGTTCCAGCTGGACCAGCACTGGCTGGTGGTAAAGGCAGGGTCGGGGGCAGGGAGTTGCAGGAGGGTGGCTGCGAGCCTCCACCCCTCCCTCCAACCCAGCTGCCATGCTGAGCGCATGGGGGATGTGTTTGCAGCAAATCTGGTGGTATTCTCCAGCTCTGCAGAGAAGTCAGCTTCAAAAGCAGCATCTGGTCTATCTTAAAGACAACTCACGTAGACACTGGATGGAGCTTCTTTCTGTGCCCTGCTCCTGGCTGTGCCTCTGTTTCTGGCCTCTCTTGTCTGCTTGTCTAACTTGACCAGGAACACTACAGGCTGAGAATGAATCATTTAGATGTTTCAGGAAACTCTTCCCCAGGTGACCTTTCCAGAGTAAAACCTCACCCTGTGGGCCCTCCTTCCAGGGAAGCCTCTCTCCGCCTGGCCTCGGGCTCTCAGGGTTGCCTTCTGTGACAGCAGCCATGTGCCTTGGAGTCCCCTGCCTTTCTCTCTGAAGCAGTGCAGGCTGCTGACTCACTGGAAGCCAGTGGGTCCTCCCTTTGCTATTTATGGAACAGAATAGCATTAGATAAATGAATCTGCTTCAGGCAACTAGCCAGGGAGATCTGGTTATGTCTCTGAAATCAGAAAGCAGTGACATGTGGCAGTCACCCTGGAAGCTTCTCCGGCAACTTTGAGCCTAGGCAGTTTGCAGTCAGGAATGTGAAGAAGTCTGAGCTGAGGCATCTTTTTCAGTGATCTGGGTGTCAGTAGGCTCATTTTCTGGCACATGGGTAGAACCCCTGGTGAAGGGGACTCTGCCCTGACCCAGTAACCCTGGGCAGTGTCACACTGGAATTCTCCCTCATTCTCACACTTTCTCTTTCTGAGAAGGGTCATTTCCTCTTGTGTCCTTGGTGCAAATACAACCAGGGTGGCAATGTGTGCTGAGTAATGAGACAGCAATCGAAATTTTAATCCAGCGACTAACAAAAACATTAGGGGCAACTCAAGTAAGTTGGGCAATGGGTTCACATGAAAAATCAGATTTTTGTTCTGAAGAAAAACGCATCTTGCTTCCCATTTCACTGTCCTCTGGGAAGTTTTCATATAGCCTATGTTCTCTTTGAAATTATTTAAAACATTTAAAGTTGTTTAAAAACTTACTTTTTAAAGATTTTATTAGGGAGCATGAGCAGGGGTGGGGGAGAGGCACTGGGAGAGGGAGAAGCAGGCTCCCTGCTGAGTAGGAGCCTAATGTGGGGCTTGATCCTAGGATCCTGAGATCATGACCTGAGCCAAAGGCGGATGCTTAACCGAATGAACCACCCAAATGCCCCTAAAAATTATTTTAAATAGAAATGATTAAAATAATTCTTATTGAAATATAGTTGATACATAAAAAATAGAATAATTGTGCTGCACTAATATTACATATTGTGAAATGATCACCATAATAAACCTAGTTAATCACCACACATCCCCGATGAGCTCAAAATGGGAGCTGGCTGTGGTGGGGGGAGGCTTATGGCCACATTCCTGCAACCCCTTCCCCAGCCCTTGCCATTACCACCAGCTAGTACTGGTCCAGCTGGAACCCCACCTGCCCAGCTAGCGCTTCCACGGTGCACCTGAGCCCCCCTCTGGTGACCAACATCAGGTGCA